AAAAATAAATAAATAAAATCTAAAAAAATAAACTTATTGGCATACCTAGGTTCTAATTTTCTCCTTGGGGTCTGCGGGCTCTGCGGAGGGTCCGCTCTTCTACCCCTGCTGCTGGCGCTGTGGCCTCGCTTCCTTTTGTCCTGGGCGGCCTCCAGAGAGCTGTGCGTCCGAAAGCCGGCCTCGGGTTGCATCAGTGCTTTCTGTTTCCCTCCTCTCGGCTCTTTGTTTCGCTGGGTTTTGCTCTCACTGGGCCTGTTTTCCCGGAGTGGAAACGCTTGCGAGAATGGGAAACAGGGGGGAGAGCGGGCCAGCCCGGCACAAAAAGGAAACCACGTCTGGGAGCCAGGAGTGAGCGTGGCCAACTTGACCTTCAGGCAAAGGGCCTTGCCAGCTTTCTGTGGGGGGGTCCAGCGCGGTTCCTCTCCCGGCCACCCCATGGCAGCACTAACCCCCACCCACCCCCCCGCGCCCCAACACCCCTGGCTGCTAGCTCAGGTGCACGTCCCCTTCTGCACACATCCGTGGTTCTCCGACCGTACCCACCCGGGCCCGAGGTGCAGGATGAGGGCGCCAGCAAGTGGCAGGAGCAGCCGCTGTCACAAGAAGCAGCTGGCTTGGATTTGTCTCCACTGTGGGAGTTCCTCGTAAAACTGGGCTTGGGAGAAGACTTTGGCAACTCGGAGAACGTTGGAGAGCGCCTGGGCCGTTACATGGAAACAGAACAGTTTTCTCTGCCAGTGTCAGCGCTCACTTCCCATGAAACGCTGGTCAAGTCCTGGAGCCTCTCTGCACGTCAGCCATCACCCGTCAGCAGGGTGACGGCAGGGGTGCGTGCCTCGTCCCGACTGAATAGGTGGTACCAGGCGAGGCCCTTCCGTGGAACTTTCTCTACAGGAGTTCTTTTGTGCCCGGCTCTACACCAGGCCGTGGGAAAGCTCCCCGGGTCACCGGCTGTAGTGCGGGGCTGGGAGGCAGCGATGCCTGTCCTGCTGAGAGCTGCCCTCTGGCATTTCCTGGAAAACTCCTTGGCCGCCCCGCCCACAGCCGGCTCAGCAGGTTCGGGAGCCTCCTTGGTTTTGACTTGACCATGACCCTGCCCAGGGGAACGGCTGTCTGGGAACTCTCACCTTCTTTGTTCCTTTCTTTTTATTGTTTTAAAAAACTTAACTTTTCTTTTCTTTTCTTTTCTTTTCTTTTCCTTTCTTTCTTTTTTCTCTTTTCTTTTTTCTTTTCTTCCCTTCCCTTCCCCTTCCTTCCTTCCTTCTTTTCTAGAGAAGGGGGAAGGAAGGAGAAAGAGAGGGAGAGAAACATCAATGTGTGGTTGCCTCTCACACGCCCCCCAACTGGGGACTTGACCTGCAACCCAGGCATGTGCCCTGACTGGGAATCGAACCAATGACCCTTTGGTTGTGAGACAGACACTCAATCCACTGAGGGGCCAGAGGAGAAGAGACTGAGGCAAGCCCAGGCACCAAGGACTCTCAGGCTGGAGGTCAAGTGTGTGGCCTTGAGCGCTTCATGCCGGCAGCTCACGGTGGTGCTTGCTGAGCCAGGTGAGGCCTCCCCCCTCCCTCTTTCTCCTTCCGTCCGTTTCTCTGTTCTTCTAGGAAGTCCCGGCCCAAATGCCCCACTTCCCAGCCTGAGGGAGCGACAGGGGTCCTGGGGGCTTCCCTTCAGCATCTGGTTTTGCAGGCGGAAAGCGGAGCCCAGCCTGGTGGGGGGCCGGGACAAGAGGAGGCCTACCCAGGTCACGGCAAAGCCAGAGTAAAAGCTGAGCCGCCCACTCGAAGTCCAGGGCCTGTTTCTTCGGTCCCAGCTGGTCTCCCCAAACTCTGCGGACTGGGGGCCCTATCCAGGATCTGTCCCGTTGGCCTGCCAGGTCGGCGGTCCCGTGTCCCCACCAGGCAGCCGAGAAGAGTGGCGTCCCATCTTCAGCCACCGGTCTCAGGTCCCACTTCCCCGGGACCTCCCTGCTTTCCTCACGCTCCCTGCAGCGGACAAACGCCTGGCGCCTCCTGCAGGGCTTTTTCTCGGTGACTCTGTTCCCGGACGCGCTCGGTGCCAAGAACAACGACGAGGACCCTCTGCAGAGGCTGGGGAGCTGGCGGAGCAGCAGCAGCAGCAGCCTGTGCACCCCGAGAGCGGTCCGGTGGGCAGACACACCCTGCTCACCCCTACACTTGCCGCAGCTCACCCCGTTTCCCACAGACCCCGGCCCGAGTTCTGCCCCAGAAGACAGACCTCAGACGAATGTGGGGCCTTACCTTCGGGGGTGAGATCTAACCGGACGGTGTGATCCAGACCTCCTCAACACCGGGCCCAGGAAGGGCCAGTAACACACGGCAGCCTGTCCCCTGAGTGGGCGCCAGCTCACGCCCTCGCGGTGGCTCCGGTGGCCAGGCCAGCTCCCCCCCCTCCCCCCCGGGGTGGCAGAAACAGCAACTTCCTGCAGAGGCTTCTTCTTCCCTCCTCCTCCCTTCCTCCCGGAAGGAGGATGCTGCTGCTTGGGGAGCACCCCAAGTGTTCCATCGCACATCCCTGGCGCTCCTTCCTCCCAGCTCCAGAACCAAGCCGGCCAAGGACATCTGCGCCCGCCAGGAGGGGAGCGGGTCCGGAATTATGGGAAACAGCTGCCCCAGAAGTCCCCACGCCCGGAGGACTTGACCTCTCCCGGCCACACCGAGGCCGGAGCCAGAGCACGAGGAGCAAGCCCAGGTCCCCCCCCAGCCTCCCCGGGTCCCACCGGCCCGCAGTTTCCAAACGAGGTGTCTCGTGATGCAGAACTGTTTTTAAGTATTACTGGAAGTAATACTTAATAATATTACTTGAATTGTTGCTGGCTCGGGGGTTTATTTTGAATATTGGTGGTCTTTTAAAATGGAATGTATTGGAGTGACGTCGGTTAATAAAACGATATCGGTTTCAGGGGTGTAATTCTATGACGCATCATCTGTACACTGTGCTGTGTGTTCGCCACCCCAAGTCAGGTCTCTCTCCGTCACCACTTGCCCCCTTACTCTCCCCTCCCGCTCCCGCCCCCTTCCCTCTGCTCATCACCATGCAGCTGTTCAGGTCTGTGAGTTGTTGTTGTTGTTCGCTTTGCCTAATCCCTCCACTTTCCCTTGTTTTAAAGCGAGGCCGAGAGCCAGTTGGTTGCTGCCAAGAGTCCCCGTTCGACCTCCTGGAAGCCGGGGCGGGGGCCTGTCTCCTGCCGGACACCCCAGGGGTTGTGGGGGCGCCTGCAAGAACCACGGGGTGAAGGGCCATGGCAACCTGTGGACGTCGGGTGCCCTTAACGAAGTGTGTCGTTGTGGAAAGACTCATGCGACTGTCGGACTGCTGACGTTGTTTGCAGATAATACCTTTTGTTTACAATCTCCGACGGCGGTGCTTTCTGGGAGGGCAGCTTCCGACCAGTAGGGGGCGCTCTGAAGCGCAGGCGGGTGGCGGAGGGCGCTAGAGGCAGGCGGAGGCAGTGGGCCCTGGGCGTGGCTCGCCTGGGCTCATCAGAGGGTCAGGGGGGGAACTGGCTTGCCAGTTCAGAATATTCTGGAGCAAAAGCTCCCGTCCCAGCATCAGCTTTGAACCGGCCTCCCTGAATCCATGCCTCCTCGCTGGGAGCAGCTCTTGGTCCTGGGGTAATACTGAACCCCCCACCCCCGCCACCCCCAGGAGAAAACCGGATAACCCAGTCCTAGTTAGCGTTGGACTTGACAGACAGGGTGGGGCGAGATCAACCTTGGAGCACGTGGCGTGGCTTTCAGGAAGGTTCCTACCGAGCACGTGCAGGAGGGAAAAGAGGGGAGGGAGGGCTATCCCCAGGTGGTCGGAGTTTGTCTCCGGCATGGAAGCGTCAGGCCCGTTAAAAAGGCACGTTGCAGTGCGGGGCCAGAGGGGCTGCCCCTGTCAAGGTGGCGAGTCTGGAGGCAGGAGGGAGTGCCTGAGGCTTTGGGGCCGTGGGGAGGTCAGGCGGGTGCCTGTGGACCTGGCCGGGGTGGAGCCGGTGAGGGGCAGCTGGGAGCCGCCTGGTCCAGGCAAGAGGACATGGGGTTGGGGGGCAGGGGTGCCGGTTTAAGAAAGGGTGGGCCGGCCCTGTGACCGGCTGCGTGCGAGCTGGAGAAAGAGGGAGGAGCCCGGAGACGCACAGTACGAGGCCGCCTCCCTACAGCTGCCACAGCGGTCTCTCGAGGGGCACCCTGTTGGGGACCCGGAACTTACTGTTCCCCCTGACATTCTCCCGAGTCACACAGGACACAAGGTGGAGCTTATCATTGTCCCCTCTTCTGTGTCCACCAAGGGGTCTCCTCTTCCCAAGACCACCCCTGTCTTGAACTGAGTGATGCCGGCATCTGTTAGATCTGGCCCCGTCCTGCGGAACGCCCCCCTGGACCCTCCCCAAGGAGAAGGCCCTGCAACCCGCTCTGTCGGGTCTCTCCAGTGGAGGGAGGGCTCCTGTGCCCCGTGGGGTCAAGCAGTCACTTGGCACCTTTGGAAGCAGCTCGGGGAATGGGAGGCAGGAGCCCTGGGCCCTGCCTCCGGATCGAACCCTGGCCCTCTGTATATCCTCAGGCCTGTGCGCGTTCCTCTCCAGCCCTCAGTCACCTGGTCTGTAAAATGGGCTAGCGACAGCTTACAGGCAGGGGGCTTTCGGATGGCTTCGGCCCCTGGACCCTCTGGGCAGGGCAGGGAGGGAGGGCGTGCTGCACCCAGATGTGGGCGCAGCCCCGGGCACCAGCTCCGTGCCTCCCGCCCCTGCCCGCCTGGGGTCAGAGAATCTGCATCCGAGCGAGGGTAGACACTCGCCCCGCCCCCTTCAGGACAAAGGCACAACAGGCAGGACAAAGCTGGGAGGAGTCAGTCGTTTATTGGTTCCTGTTGACAAGAAGTCCCTTCCCTTGACACCAGGTTCAACACTCCTCCCCCCTCCCCCACCCTCCAGCCCCCCAATGCCAATGAGGTTTGCACCCTGAAATCCCGGTGGGGTCTAAGAGGCACAGGGAGGCAGGAATGGAAGATTACATAATTTAACTATATACAGTGTAACCACATAGCTTATCAGGACCCAGCAGACCCCCCCGCAGACCCCCCCAGCAGACGACCCAGCAAAGTCGGTGCGGAACTGGCTGCGGAGGCTTGGGGGCTGGGCTTGCCGGGAGGGGAAAAGGCACGTGGGCTCCGGAGTTGTGGGGTCGAGAGGAATCAGTTCACATTCACTTGCAGTATTCCAGCTTAGATAAAGAACCGCTAACCCACCACTCCTTGAGAGAAGCGCACGCCTCTCTGCCTCTTTTCATCTTGAATCTGCGGGCAGAAAACGAAGAAGGCACCGGTTACCCGCTGGGGACCACACGCAGGCCCCGTCTCCCCCTCCTCGCTTCCGGGTGCCCCTAAGCGGCAGTCTCTGCGAGATAGGAAGTTCTCGCGTCTGGCCTGTGGCTGCACACCAGGGGGACGGGCTGCAGGGGAGCTCATCATGCAGCCGTGGTAGGTGATGCAGCTGTGGTATGTATGTATGCCACTTCACGGGTAAGGAGTGAGCGCAGTGGAGCTAGCCGCCCAAGGCCAACTGTGAGTTGGCAAACCCGGAGTTGGAAAGGAATCGTGCCCCCTCCCTCTTGTCACTGTGCAGCAATGCCTGGAGCTTGGAAGCAATTCCTTCTTCTGGGCATAAAATATTTGGATCTAATACCTGGCTCCTTGATGCTCCAAGAAACAAAAGCCGCTATAGGAAACCAGGTGCATTCCTCCGGGCACACGATAGGTAGTGCAGAGCACCCCCTAGCGCCCACACTCAGCTCTGCACCGAGATTTTGATGCCCCACCCCCAGGTTTAGAAACCGTAACCTGGTGGGACATCGCCATCTAGTGTCCACTATTCGAATTGCAGGCGAGCCTGTGTCCTCGCCCTGGAGGGGGAACTCAGGAATCGAACCGGGAGAGGCACTCACATGATCCCTTGGCCGTGGGAGCAGGAGGAGCTGGAGTGTCTGTAACAGTGGACAGTGCTTGGGTGAATGAATCTCTTCACAAACTTGAAGCAGCATCTGGGGGCCTGCACAAGCACTGGAAGAGAAACACAAAAGCCGTTTGCATCTATTTCTCAACCTGGACTTCTTTGCTCTCTCTCAGGATGGCCAAAACAAAACAAAACAAAACAACACAACAACGAAACCCCTCCCAGGACAGGCTCAGGCTTTGAAACACAGTCAGAGGGCCCAGGGGCAGCCCTGTCCCATCGGCCACCTAGTTCTGCCTGTGGGCAGATTCAGGCCCCTGGGGTCCCATCCCAGCTCCCCGTGCACCAGCCGGCACCCTTAATTAATCAGGATGCCTCGCCCGGGCCGCAGGCCTCCCATCTGGAAAATGAGACCTTGCAGACCGATGTCTAGGGGCTCGCCCAGTCCTGACATCCCACGGCCAGCGCGAGGTTCTGCACCGGTACTTAGGTCCCGGGGCCCTGGTTCCCGTGCTCTGGGGGCCCGGGGAGTTTGGTGCGTGCAGGACAACTATGGCGCAAGAACCTGGGGCAGGATTAGAAACTGTTCAAGGAGTTCAAACTGATAAAACGGCAAAGGAGGAGCTACCGGGAGCCAGCTGGCTCCCCGACTTGCTCTCCGAATGCCCTGCTGCCCAAGCCCTCCTCAGCTCCGTCCTGACCCCCCAGCCCCCCTCTGCCAGTTTGTACACCCCCTCCCTCCCTCCACCCTCCAAAGACTTGCATTCCAATCCTGGCTCCTTCCTCCTGGGCTTGCTGTTTGCAAAGCCCCTTGCGTGTATTTAGTGTTAGGTTGGGGTTCTCTAAACAGTCTTGGGAGGGAGGCATTGGCAGCCCACTTTCATGATGGAGAAACTAGAGTTCAAGAAGTCAGGTGACTTGCCTGTGGTTAGCCAAAGGTTACAGCCCCAGGTCCCGACCTCTGTGCATCGTCTGTTACATTGTGGTGGCAAGACCCAGTGCCCCTCGGGACCACAGGACTCCCGGCTTGGACTCCATAACCCTCCCAGCCCCCAGTCTGCAGGGTCCGGATGAGGCTCAGTGGCCTGTGTTCACCCGGCCCCGTGGTTCTCCCACTAGCCCTCTGCCCCTGACCATCCCAAGTCCTTCCTTCACATCTTCAGGGAGAGTCCCTCCTGGAGCAGGGGACACGGAGGCCAGCAGTTTAGGGCGAGCCCTGCCCACAACCCCAGAGCACCTGCCTACGTCTCTGCCCTCCCCAGGGGAAGCAAAGCGACGCTAGCCCCACTCACAGCTCTTGCTGTCCGCGTCCTGCAGCCACATCCCCGCCACCAGCAGGCACACCAGGGCCACGGTAATGAGCTTCATCGCGGGGGTGTTTCTGGCTCAGGCCTCTCTGGGACGATCTCGACGAGTCTGGTGAAGCTGAGTGCTCTCTCCTGGCCCATCCTCAGCCGCCGGCGCATTTATCAGGATCGGTGGGACTTCCCAGGCCCCCGGTGCAGAGGTGGGGAAGTCACCGGGAGGAGCGGTGGTTACTTACGTCCAGCGACCACATTGGACCTCTCGTAGGGGCGTGTGAGTGTGTGGAAACTTCCCCGTGTGCAGGTGCAGATAAGGATCTCGAGAACGACGCGGAGGAGCTGTCCCTCTGAGGAGCGGAGGGAGGTGAACCGGAGGAAGTGGCCTCTGCTTGTGGCTTCTCTGGCCCCACGTCTTTTCATCCAGGGATGCGGCCGCCGTCCCCAGAGCAGGGCAGTGCTGACGGGCTCTGGGCCAGGGCAGGGACACATCTGGGTTCGAATCCCAGGGCTGCGAATTAGCAGTGGCTGGAACTCACCTGTCCACGGCAGTACTGGGACACGGGGCGCGAGCCTCACGGGGGTGCGATGAGAACTAAATACGATCGGCAGTGTCATGGGCCCCGGCCCCCATCTTCCCAATTTCCATGTTTCCCATCCCTGAACGCCCTTCAGCAGCTGTCCCTGTGCTAGGCCGTTGGGTACCCCCAGGGAAGAGGGGTGGTGTGCACGGCCTGCCCGCCACCTGCTGTCCTCTGCCCCCAGATAAGCAAGTAAAAGCCAAGCAGGGTAAGGACAGCAGTGGGTGAGCCCCGTGGAGGGCGTAGGGGAGATTCCCAAAGGCTCCGGAGAGGCCTCCCGGGGCCGAGGTCCTCAAGCACCACCTGCACCCCGTCCCCGGGGAGGGCTGAACGGAAAGGGGCACGCCACCAGAGGAAGGGGTGTGCGTACGAACAGGGGGGCACACAGGAGCACGTTTGTTCAGAGAGGCCAGAGAGAACACTGGTGTCAGGGGTGTAAGGAGAGTGACCGGAGTGAGGAAGTAGCCGGAGCGGACATGACTGGGCAGCAATGGGGCGCCCAGGGCCTGAAGCCATTGTGTGTGGTGCTGGCAGGAAGCAGCGCATAGTAGGTGCTCAGGAAAAAGTAGCCGGGCTGAATCTGCGTGTTCAAAACCTGAGGCCAACGTGCATTTTCTTTGGCCACCGAGCTGTGGCGAGGCTAACCTCCTCTGGCCGGGCCGGCTGTGGCTCCCACGTCCGCAGCGGCTTCCCATTGTCAAGGGCGTGGAGTTCAAGCCGCTCGCCCGGCCATGCATGGCTCCTCCCGTGACGTGTCCGTGGATTCCTGCCAGTTCGAATCTTTGCAGTTCCCGGAACTTGCCACATGCTTTTCTATGTCCAGGACTTTGCTTCCGCTGTAGCCTCCACCCGCGGGGCCCTCCTGGCTGTCTCCCTCTACGAACTTGCGGCCCATTTCCAATGCTTTTGTCTCCTTGAAGACCCTTCCGCTGTTCCCATGCAGCCTCCTTTGAGGCAGCCCCCCTTGTCTGGGTCTCCCCCTTGGAGATCCTAGATGCCCCCCAGACCCCCCAACTCCCTGTATTCTTCAGACAAACTCCTGGGTGGGCATCTTGGTGTGTCAAGGTTGAAAGGGCCTGGAGGACAGTGGGTCTTAAAGTTTCAAGGCTTTTGAAAAATGCCTTGGCCTTGCCCTGGCTGGATGGCTCAGCTGGTCGGAGCGCCACCCTGTGGGCCAAACCGCTGGGGGTTCAGTTCCCGGTCAGGGCACATACCCAGGTGGTGGATTTGATCTCTGGTTGGGGCGCGTATAAGAGGCAACCAGTCAATGCTTCTCTGTCTCTCTCTTTTTCTCTTCCTCTCTAAAACCACTGAACATATCCTTGGGTGAGGATTTAAAAAAAAAATTAAAGAAAAATGCCTTGGCCCCATTTCAGGATTAGAATCCAAACATCCACACCTGTACGCGTGACGCAGGCCCCAGAAGATAAGAATCTCGTGTCTGGTGGGATCTCGTCATGCCGCAGACGGGATAAAGGAGCCTCGGAAAGGGGAGGCGGACTCCCCGAGGTCACACTGAGAATTCGGGCAGAGACGGGACTGTGGGCACTCCGGTCGTCGGGACGTCTGACCGCCTCATCCTGCGGCCGGCTGCTCTCTGCCTCCCCGGGAGTCCAAGAAGTAGCAGAAATAACCACCCCACTCACTGCTGTTGCTCTCCTAGTCCCTCTGGCCTTGCAGACTGACACTTTTTTTATTCCTTTGCTATCATTTTAGTCGTGTTTGGGTAGAGGAAGGAGAAAAAGGCATGAGGTCCACCTGCTGACCGTACCCATCGGCCTCGTCAGCTCCCTTGGGGCACGGAGAGGGGCCACGGGGTCACCCAGGGAACGTTGTCCCTTGTCTTGGGGGCGCGGCCGGCCCACTCAGGACGGGGATGGGGCTGCCCCTCCGGACACTCGCTTCCCCTGCTCTCCTCACGGTGCTCACTTCCCAGAGGCGGGGCAGGAGGCCCAGGAAGGACAGGGGAGATGCCCCATGGAGGCCCGGGGACAGCGCCCCGAAGGCAGCCCCGCCTCCTAACTCCCCAGCGGGGCTCCTCCTCGGATGTCTGGACTTTGTGCTCCTGCCGGGAGAGCTGGCCCATGGCCTGGGCAAGGAGGAGGGCACGACTGGGCGCCTAGGAGGCCGGAGAGCCCTGCGAGATTCTCACGCCCATCTGGACGTCAGGGCGCGGTGCCAACCTTGCAGAAAACAGTGGGGGAACGAGGAACACCCCAGCATTTCCGCCCTGCAGCGCAGGGATGCGGGGGCAGGAAGAGACAGTGATATGACTCCAGAGTATGCCCACTTAAACCCGACAAGGCCACCATGATTCAGGGGACACACCCACAGCCTGCGGGAAAGTCCCCTGAGGGGCCTTCTCTCTCTGGGGGATGGGCAGATGGACAGCCCGAGACCCACTGCAGACCCATAGCCCGGTGGCCAGCACCTCCCACCCCCACAGCCCTGGGAACCCAGGTCGGCCTGGGTGGGGGGTGCCCTTCTCTCCACATCCCCCCGGGGCCTAGCCCCTAGGCTCAGCTCAGAGCTGCCCAACCCCGAGAGATGCCACCGTCACCAGGCATGGCCTCCTGGGCTCCTCTGGAGTGAGCGGAGCTGACCGCAGAGAGAGTGCTGAGCTCACGCGGCTTCCCATGTACTGACGGTCGATCTCCGGGCCATCGTCACCTCTGTCGTCTAGCCTGGTGGGAAACGCACTGGGCTTGGGGTCCAGACACCTGCGCTTCAATCCAGAGTGCCACCTGGTCCACACCGATCGTCCTCCTGAGGCTCTGAGTCATCATCGACACTGGGTACCTCGACTGTCGTGAGGTGGAAATGGGGACACGTGCATGAAGCCTTCCAGCACGCGCCGGACTCGGCCTCACGGTTTCTGAGAGGGGCCTGCGTTTCCTCCCCCCCACCCCCGCCTTGGTGTGGCTGAGGCGTCTCCACAGCTGCGCGGAGTTGCTGGCTGTGGGTGGACCGGGTCCTGCTTCTCCGCTGGGGCTGTCTCGCCCAGCGTCCGCAGGGCTGGGCGCGTTTCCGGAGCCGAGTTCACATCTGAAGCCAGGGCTGCCGCCTGCCAGACCTAGCCGGGGCCTGCAGCTCGTGTGCTCCACCGGCCTGTGCCCCGGACAAGCAGAGCTCCCGGACCGGCCAGAGTCCGGTGCAAAAGGAAAGTCAAGGGCGCCTCATTCCAACAGGAGGGATTTCAAGCACGGACAGCAGAGACCTGTGCCCGGAAGGCTGTCCCGCCCCCATCAGCCCTCCCGCTTCCTGTTGGGTGGGCATCCATCTGGGGACCTCCCACCCCCCTGCTCTGGGTCCCCAGCCCTGGTTTGGAAGGTGACCTCCCAAAGTCCCACCATGACGGTTTTATCCTTCCAACGTCCTTGACATAAAGGCATTTCCCAAAGGAGCCAGAAGGTGTGTTTCGCTTCCCACAAGCACTGATCCACCTGCAAGTCGCCCCCTCCCCCGGCCCCGCCCCAACTCCTCCCAGACTCACAGCCCAGAGCCGCCGCCAGCCAGACGTCTCCCGGGGCCCCCAGAAGAGACTGCGGGGAGAAGCGAGTGCGAGAAATGACGGTGTCCTAGCGGCTGCCCTGGGGTCTAGCCGGCCCTGCTGTCTGCAGCTGGAACTCGCCTCCACCGGAGACCCTCCCCCTACCCCGAGAGGGGAGGGTGTGATTCGGTCACGTGGAACAACAGGTGGGACGCCCGGGACACATCCGATGGAAGGAATTAAAGGAATATGTCACCACCCTCCTCTGCCACCTCCCCAGGTCACCTGCCTCGGACGTGTCCTTTGATATCCAGGCGTGATAAGGCAAGTAAACAGCACTGGTCACGCCACACCCTCCACCCACTCCCCTCGAGCTCGCAATCGCACCGGCCTGGGTGGGGGGCGGGGAAGGAGAGGACCAGGCAGCCTGGTGTGGCCTCACCTCTGCCTCTCCCGATCTCTGTCTACTTAAGCGTCTTCATCTGTGAGTTACGGCTTCGAATCTGCTCCCTGATTGGCTGGCTGGGGGTCCCGAGCCTTGCAGGAGACCACAGTGAGTTCCCGCTTCGAATCTGCCCCCTGATTGGCTGGCTGCAGGTCCCGAGCCTCGCAGGAGACCACGTGGCTGGCTGATGAATGGGTGTTCGGCAGAGAAGGTGGCTCCCGACCCCCCCTCCCCCTCCACTGCTGCCTCCTCTCGCTCGTTGCTCCTAAATCCAAGGCACCCCTGGTGATGGTCTCGCCTGGCCTCTAAGCAGCCTTGACCCTGCTGGCCCTTCCTTCTGGAAACATCCTCGTGCTGTGGCTTTTGGGCTGGGAGTCCCTCTTGGTTTTTCTGTAACCTGCATGTCCGTTGCTTCTGAAACTGGGTGAGAGGCTCCTTGTCCTTCACCCAACCATTACCCCTGCCGTCCGCCGAGCCCTCCGTGGAGTAACGGTGGTTAGTAGCTAACACACCTGTGTGCGAGGCACTGCTCTAAGTGTGCGTTAACCTGTCTGATCTTCCTCACAGC